AGTAGCCATTTTTAACAACACAGTAAGAAAGGAATTGCTCTAAAAAGTAAATGTGGTCAGCCATGAGTAAGTTAAGTGAATGCTGATACATCCAAAGTACATCCATGGTATTATTGGGAGAATGAGGAAGGAAAGGTTTTGAGGGGTTAGGGGTGTAAGAGTTAAATCATTTTGTAGTAGGAAGTCAGTAGATAACTTATAAATCTGAAAACTAAGAAGTATTAGTTCTAAACAAATTACTGTATTTAGAAACATGAGATAAATACCGAAGTGTTGAAAGCAGTTGCTTCTGGTGAGAGGAATCAGAAGTGGTGAGGATTGGAAAGAGGATTAGTGTTTTGCTATAAATTTTCTGATACTATTTGACTTTTTAAGCTATATATATATATTTTATAGTTTAATTTTTTTCATTTTTAAGGAGGGTAAAATTGAGTTAATAAAACGAACATTTACTTTAGATGTTAAATCTTGTTAGTCCAGTACCTTTGCTATAGTAACATGATGATAGTATGGTTTAGTTTTCTATTCATATGTTGTGTGTTATTTATTAATATCAGTTTTTGATTCCTACTCATATTATTAATTTGGCTTCCTTGGCTGACTGTGATGAAAAAACATATTCTAAGAAACATGAGTCAGTCCTGTGTTAGTCTCAACAGGGAACTTAATTTAGTTAATATCTATAAATAGTTTGCAAATCACCACTACTACCTGTAAGTTATAAAAGGGGAGTAATAACCCTAGCACAGAAGCGGGGAGTTGGAACAATGAAAGTGTACAGCCCTTCAGTTAGCCTTCAGAGGCAAGATGGACCAAGAGTTGACCGCCTTCTCTTGTAAGTATTGTCTCCTGTCTCAGGAGCTTGATAATATTAAAACTTAATTATCTTGTATAGTTCTATCCATTTTTCATTTGTTGACTAATAGAGAAGTATTTCACCCACATTTTATTGATGCAGTCTTATTTTCTGACAAATGTCAGTACCATTAAAGTGTTACTAAATATTATTATCACAGAATATTTTTCCTTGTCTGCCTTCCTCCTTCATTATGTCAAAATTTAAATCACTCTTCACCTGGCACAGTTTGTTATACATAAGGCTGAATGAAATGTGTTTTAAAATTGTTATATAGATTTTGCTTGCTCTAAGAAAAATAAGTCTTTGAGTTAACATCAACTAAATATGTGTTTGAATGTATAAAAGAGATATTAATTTCATTGCTTTTCAGTGCTTTGTGCATCTCTTTACATTTGGGGATAATTTTTTAGGGGAGAAGTAGGTATTTGTGGTGGGAAGAATTATTTCTGATATTTTAAAAATGCTCCTGGTGGCTGTAAGATTAGTCTTTTGCACGATTTTTTCTAAAAATTTTTTTTCTCAAACTTTCAAATTATTGTAAAATGCCTATCCTAACTTAAAAGTTAGTCTTCCAGATTTCTTCCATACTTCAGAATTAGGGCCCTTGTACTTTGAAAAAGTCTTCAAATGAAAACAGTCATTTGTAGACAGAACTCTAGGGGAAAAAGTCATGTGCATTTCCAGTATGTGAGTTGGCAGTGATATTTCTAAGAAAAGCAGAGTTTATAAATTTGGAAACTGTTCCCCTAAAAAGATATACAAATGTCTTGCTTTAGAAGTCAAAACATGAAAGTCGGAAGATTTAAATATACCACCCAATTTAGGTGGGAATTACTCATTCCACTAAAGATTTGTAAGCCTTGGGTTTTCTGTTTGACACACAACTTTGGGAAATATGTTTAGATGTGCTTCTTTTCAGTGAGCAGGCTAAAAATTGGAGTCTTTGAACACTTCCCTTTCTTGCATCTTTCGTACTTTCAAATCAAGAAAATAATATAGTCAGCAGAATCTCCTGCAGCTGTGTGAACTGCCTACTTCAATCACCTATCAGTGAACATGGCATTCATTGTATGCTCTTTTCCTGCATGAGTAGGTGCTCTCTTATAGACTGAAAACCCTAGACTATTATGACATGTGGAACACTCTTTTTTTAAGTCATGCCATTATTTAATTATTCTTTCAGATACACTTTACTTTATGCCTTAAACTTACTTTTTATATTAAAGAGTGTTATATGGTTTAGAGAAGCAGCCATTAACTTGGGTGGGGGGGGCACTAAGAACGTGGATAAGAAATGAAATGTAGGCTTAGAATACTTGTTCAGCTATGAACACTATTTGCATTATCACATTAATAACGTAAACTCTAAATACTGATTTAACCAGAAACCAGTGTTCTCCCATGACTATATTTGGAAAAGCCTGTGTGTGGTAAGGGAGTTACAAGAGACGTCTTCTTGTAAGTCAGTTGACATATATGAAGTTGAAACAGTCAAAAGTATTGACAGTAATTATCTCTAGTATGCTAGAAACTGGGGTGAGATGGCTGGAGCAATGAACTGCTGTTTTTTGTTACAAACTTTAAAAACTATGTGCTTGTATTATTTTGATAAGATAAAATGAAAAGAGATGACACAGAAAAGTAAATGGACCTAATAAACTGGATCTTTTTATTATAGATCTGGTGCAGCTTCATTACTCCAGAGTTACTTTCCCATAGCTTCTGTTTTCAGATATATTCTGATTAAAATAATATGGGTATATCTTTTGTCTTCTGGACCCAATAGATTGCTTAGAGTATTACATTTAAAATTCTCTTACTTTTTGCTGCCTGTTCTGTGTTTTGAATGTAATATAAGCCCTAGCTAAGTTTATTCATTAGATGTAAGTTATTCAAAAATAACAACTTTATGTCTAGTTTGTTATTAAAAATATTCTTCTGAATATACCTCATTTCTTGCCCTCCTTCCTATAGTGATATTGTTATCCCTCACAAACTTTGGCAGCTAGTAATTTATCAAATAGCATAATAAAGTCAGTACTATATCCTAAAAATCTGATTTTATTATTTAGTTGTCAGTATTTTCATCTTACCCACAATGCTATGAAATATATTATGTGTAAGAGGAGTATACTTTTTTTTAATTTTACGAAGAGTTAATGTTTACAGCAAAATAATCAAAGTCCAGGTAGATATTTGGAGACATTTTTCAGCTCTGTTATGTTATGCATGGAAGGCAAAAATCAACTTATTCTAGAACCACATACAGTAGGCTTCTGCAAGTTTTGATATAATCACAGAGATTTCTTAGTCAGTGTTTGAAGTCCTACAGGTAAAGATTTTTAATTGAGTTATGAGCAAATATTGAGATATTCTGTACTTTCTTAAATAAGGAGACAAAAAGATACGAATGTTTTTCTAGTTGATCTTCAGATTTAATAAACTATTAATAGGATTGGTCTTGGCAGAAAGGGTAAATTTATCAAGGTATCAAGATAACTGGTGCCATGCCAAACAAATAGATCTATCCTCCAAAACATTCTGGAAGCTCGGTAACAGTCAACACATGTAAAGCTTCCATCTTAAATTAGGGCTGTAAACTATTCAATAAAAGGTGCTGTGATGTAGATCATTACTTCACATGTCAAACCCAAGATGAATTTCATATGAACTAAGGATTTTATTGTGAAAAATAAAAGCATGAAAAGTAAGTAATTATATAATCCTCTTGTGAGACAGGGCTGCCTAAGAAGGAAAGCAAAGGCACATTACTTAAAGGAATAATGTTACTAGATTTTCTGCATAAAAATTAAAAGCCATGTTACAAAATAAAACTTAATAAATCAAAGACATAAAAAACCATAATAAAAATTAAAGTGTGTATGTCCGATATGTGTAACAAAGGGTTATTATCTTTAATATAGAAAAAACTCTTTCAAATGAATATGGGATATTCACTATCCCAAGAGAAAACTGATCAAAGAACATGTGCAGTCAATACTAATACAAAAATGAGTAAGCAAACTACAAAGTACTTAGCCTCAGAAGTAATCAGAGAAATGCAGATTATTATGTGATAACAGTCATATTAGCAAAGATTAAAAACAATGATGGTATTCAGTGTCAGTGAGGAGAAAGGAAAGTGGACATTCTCATATACTATTGGGCTGCTGGGAAGTGTTAATTGGCACAGCTATCCCTGAAGATAATTTGGGACCATGTATCAAAAATCTTGATGTTTATCTTTTCATCTCACAAATCTGTGTGTTAGTGGTGATACTTAAGAAGCAGTTAGAAAAGAGTTCAAAGATAAATGAAGATAAATATTTGTTGTAGTATTAGTAATACTATTAGCCTAACTTATACTAGGAGAGACCTCTTAAACTCTGGATTCCTAAACAGTCATGAAAAGTAAAGGTGCAAAACTGTACTTAGTACCTTAGAATACCTTTTACAATATATCAAGTGGGAGAGAAGAAAACAGATTTCAGAGTGGTAGGGAAATACTCTATTTCATTTGGTTTTTAAAGTTTATATGCATATTTTTACATAAGGAAAAGTCTGAAAGTATGAATGCCAAAATGTTAATTATAGTGACTTCTGGATATAAGGCTTAATGTGATTTTAAGTTTCTCTTCTTCTCACTTAACTCTTTCTCATTCACCAAACTTTTGAGCTATTGCTGTGACTAGCCATTGTATTTTCTAATATGACAAAGTATAATTTGTTACTATGAAAATTTGATGTTATGTTTTAGGAAGGTAATTACAATTTAGAAATTTTTTCATTAAATGATTCAAGTAATGTCTTGGTCATTAAAGTGGTATGTTCAGTTACTTGGAAACTTCATTTGTTTGCAACACTTTATTCATGAAAAGTACAGAATAAAGTGAGGCATTAGTGTAATGTGGTGAAGCAGCCCACAGTGGTCCTAATAAGAGAAATTATTTTCATTTGTATGAAACGTAAGTCATCTCTGTCTAACTAATCTTTCTTCATGTGGGAGGAGAGATGTTGATAGCACCTTCTACACTGCTTTGTATTTGAATCAGAAATAAGGTTCACATAGGATCATTGTGAAAGGAATAGGTATTTAATGACAAGTAGCCATAGTTGTGTATTTTTAATTTCTTAATTTCAGGCAACTACAAGAACAGCAACGACAAAAGGAGCTGGAGCGGGAAAGGCTGGAGAGAGAAAGAATGGAAAGGGAGAGATTGGAGAGGGAGAGGTTAGAAAGGGAAAGGCTGGAGAGGGAGCGACTCGAACAGGAGCAGCTGGAGAGAGAGAGACAAGAAAGGGAACGTCAGGATCGCCTGGAGCGCGAGAGACTGGAGCGTGAGAGACTGGAGAGACTGGACCGAGAAAGGCAAGAAAGAGAGCGACAAGAGCAGCTGGAAAGGGAGCAGTTGGAATGGGAGCGAGAACGAAGAATATCAAATGCCGGTAAGAAGTGGACAAATTACTCTGTGTTCCTGATGTCTGAGCTTGGATGGCGGATGGCGTTTTGTGTAGTTGTATATTGGGAAGACTATTTCACATTCGAGATGCCTGGGATTAAGCAGTATGATTTGAAATTAGAAAAAATATGCAGCAGTTGCTACTTGAACATTTTCTTTTTATTCCTCTCTGTATTGCTTTTATTGCTTGGAGACTTAAAGAAAGCTCTTGGAAATTTTTATTCTGGCATTCTAATTCTTCTAACTTCCCATAAATTGGCTATAAAGTGTAAGTGTGTTTTTATGAGAAATTTTTTATATTGGATGAGTTTGGAATGTATTTCCCTTTTGAGATTGCTTAAATTGTCTCGAAAACTGCAGCATTCCAAAAATTCTGCTTGATTGTATTCTAAAGTTTTTGAAGGAGGAATTTTAAAAAGTGGGCAAAAAAAAATCCTCTCTAAAACTGACTAATAATTTAAATATTTTCTAGTATTGTGAAAAATAAGTGAAAATTACTAAATCTGATGGAATTTTATTGAAAGACATAAGTGTTAAGATATGACTAAAAGTTTGGGGTATTTTGACATTCATTAAAATTAACATTTATTATAGGATTTAAGAATTATTTTTATTCCATATGGCCTATAACTAAAGTCTTAGTGTGAGTTGATTAAATATTGGTTTATTGGTTTGCTGTTTGAGTTAATTCATTTGGTTTTGATTGCCTAATTATTTTCTGCTGTTATGGCCAACAAAACTTCCACAAATAAGCATTGAATTTGGGGGTTTCTAGCCCTTCAGAGTAAACTTTTTGCTAATTTCACTGTTTGTTGTTTAAAAAAACAACTGAACATTCTTTGTAGTCTTTTTCATGTAATAGTGATTTCTTTTTTGCGGCCTAAATAATGAAAATTAAGACTACTGTCTTTGTCTGGTAAAGAACAAGCTAATCAACTTAATTTATCAATCTGTTTATTAGATGAAAAGAAAACTTACCTCTTTTGGATCTCAATGTATTTATAAGTTAAAACCTTCTTGGTTGAAATTAGTTATTTGCACATATGCTTAATTCTCTGGTACTAACTGTAGTCTACATTTGTACATTTTGTCTGAATGCTGGTTTTGTGGCTTTACTAGCTCCCTTTTTCTCTCTCCTTTTTTATCCTGTCTTTCGCCGCTGCTTTCCACCTCTGTCCAGCTCCATCTTCCGACAGCTCCCTGTATAATGCTCCACTTCCTGAGTATGCCAGTTGCCAGCCTCCTTCAGCACCTCCTCCATCATACGCTAAAGTCATCTCAGCTCCAGTGTCAGATGCCACTCCTGATTACGCTGTAGTGACCGCTTTGCCACCTACTTCCACACCCCCTACACCACCACTTCGACACTCCGCGACACGTTTTGCAACATCTTTAGGTTCAGCCTTCCACCCTGTTCTTCCCCACTATGCTACAGTTCCTCGTCCTCTGAACAAAAACTCTCGACCTTCTTCTCCTGTGAACACACCCTCTTCTCAGCCTCCAGCTACGAAGCCCTGTGCCTGGTCTGCTTCCAATTTTTCACCCCTCCCTCCATCTCCTCCAGTAATGATTAGCAGCCCCCCAGGCAAAGCTACTGGTCCAAGGCCCGTCCTCCCTGTTTGTGTCTCTTCTCCTGTGCCCCAAATGCCTCCATCACCAACAGCACCCAATGGGCTGCTTGACTCTGTCACATACCCAGTGTCCCCACCGCCTACCTCAGGGCCAGCAGCGCCGCCGCCGCCGCCTCCGCTGCCTTCCCTCACACCACTCTCACACTGTGGATCTCAAGCTTCTCCTCCTCCAAGCACCCCTGTTGCCTCAACTCCCTCATCCAAGCCTAGTGTTCTCCCTTCTCCCTCTGCAGCTGCCCCTGCCTCTGTGGAGACTCCTCTAAACTCTGTGCTGGGAGACTCCTCTGCTTCTGAGCCAGGCTTGCAGGCAGCCTCTCAGCCGGCCGAGACTCCAGCCCCACAGGGTAAGGCTTACATTTATCGCTACTAACGACTAGTCACTTGAAAATATTATACATCAACAACCATAATTGCCTAGGAGAATGAGGATGGTTTTGAAAAAGTTTTTGAAAGTGGATTTTTTTTGTTTGGATTAACTGCATTTGGAAGATCAATATGAGCAATTTCCACGTTAACTAGGTTTTGATGTCTCTGCGGTGTTGTGGTTGGAGGTGTTTTCCACTAGGTAAGGGCCTCCGTACATTTCTTTTCAATTTCACTAGGAGACCATTACTTGACACGTTAATCTGTACATTAAATGTATAGTCGAACTTTTCTTCCTTTAATTTCTGGGAAGCACGGAGACAATATTTAGTGCCCAGCTATAGTCATTAGGTATATCATCCCAGGCTCTCCTCTGGAACACTTTTGCTCTTGGACCCTATTTCATTTGGGCCTCTCCTGTACATATTGGGCTTCCCATATTAGACTTTTCAGGGATGGGTGCCCCCCATAACCCTGGGAGCAGCAGCCCAGCCCAACTTTGCACAAGGGGTAGAGAGATGGCAGATTTGATTTGTGCCCTAGAGGGTTCCATGGTCCAAAATTATAAGATGTAGAAGGCTGAAGGGATAGTTGGGAGAGCAGAGCATCCTCTACAGTTATCCCCTCAGCCCCCATGCCTGAACTTTGCCTTCATGGTAACAGAGGAGGGAGGATGTAATCTTCTAAGTGTGGATTATTTGTAAATAGAGAAGGACCTGGTTCTATAAGTAAAGAAGAAGAGCTTAGCAACCCCTCCCTTGTTTAAAAGGATTTAGCAAGAATTAACAGGAAGGAACATGACAACAAATTTGTTCTTACAAAGACAGTGTTATGGTCTGTATTTAAATACTTCTCTTTAAAAAAAAATCTTAGTTCTTAAGGGCTGTGAGTGTATATTTTTCATGTTGACTTACTGAATTTACTTAAACATTGAATCACAGTTCTAGTATGTGCAGTTCAGTATCACTGTAATGCAGGACAGGAGAGGCACAGTTAGGCTGACAAGGTCAAACGGCCTGCCTCCTGTGTCCTCTGAGCTCTGATGATCTGTGGAAGATTGACAGCCCATTACTCTATATTCTCCTTCCAGCAGTTTATGCCTTCAGCTTGTGTAACTGTTCAAAGTTAGCAGTTGCAAAAACACCTTACCACCCAGTGTGCAAATAGCATTTTGTTTGTCCTAAAACACCTCTTTAAGCCTTAAGGGAGGGGGGTAGACCTACTGGGTCAGTCTCCTGATTCTTGTTCTTGTCCACTCCCTTTGTGATTTTATAAGATTTGGACATTTCTCTCCTATCCCCTGTCTTCTAGTCTTTAAAAAAAAAAAAACCAAAAACCTCTGCACTTCAAATTCTGTCTCCTAATTGTTCCTGATAGTAAATTTGAGGTTTTACTTTGTTCTAGTAGATTCCTTCACTTCAGTGATTCTCAACTCTCTTTACACGTTGGATTTAAATGTGGAATATTTTTGAGATATTGAAGCCAGGAACCCACCCTTGCATGTTCTCAATTCAGCCACTGTTTTAGAACTTACTGCCTCAACTCTTATGGTTTACCCAGATTATTTTGGGTCTTTTATTTCAAATGGCACTAACTGCCGACCTATTCGTTACTTTGTCTTTTCAGGGATGCCCCCTCCTTCTCAATATTTTATAAGCATTTATTTTGTTTATTTACCAGATACCCATGAAAAAATTGAATTAGATGATCTATTACAAAGTTCTGTTAATAAAACTAACATTAAGTAATTTTCACTTTGGCCTTAAATTTTAGTATTTTTTGATACTGCTCTGGATTTTAAACATGATGATAAGTTGAACTCTGATTTTTAATAAACATTTGAGTCAATTTAATTTAGCATGGCTATTCTAGGTGCCTCTCCTTCTAAGGTAGTATCAGTCAGCTCTATCGTTGATGGTCTTATTTAACATTTCTTTCTCTCAGGCATTGTCTTGGGACCACCTGCACCTCCACCCCCTCCTCCACTCCCACCAGGTCCTGCGCAGGCTTCAGCTGTGCTCCCTCCTCCCCCAGGACCCCCTCCACCCCCTCCACTTCCATCCTCAGGGCCTCCACCTCCGCCTCCTCCACCACCTCTTCCTAATCAAGTACCCCCCCCTCCTCCACCACCTCCTGCTCCCCCTCTCCCTGCATCTGGATTTTTTTCGGGATCCATGACTGAAGACAATCGCCCTTTAACTGGACTCGCAGCTGCAATTGCTGGAGCAAAACTTAGGAAAGTGTCACGGGTAAATGCATTTCCAAGTCACTTGTATCTTTTTATGTATGTCATATCTGTCTCAGTATCTAAAATACTGAATTTATTGTGTTCTAATTTTATGAACCCTATGTTAATAACTTGACTGATTAAAAATTTGAAATAATTTAAACTCACAGAGAAGTTGCAAGGATAATATAGTTTCCTGTAAACCTATCACACAGATTCATCATTTAACATTTTACCGTATTTGCTTTATTATTATTTGTGTATGTTTCCTTCTACATAAACACACTCTTTTTGTCTGAATTGAGAGTAAATCAGAAACATTATCCCTAGTTCCCTAAATACTTAAGTGTGTATTTTATAAGAACAACATCCATCTACATGACCACAGTATAATGATCAAACTCAGGAAATTTAATTGATACAATATTATAACCTAGAAACCTATTCAAATTTTATCTATTGTCCAATAACATTTTTATGGCAGTTTTTTTTCTAGTCCAAGACTACCCATTACATTTAGTTGTAATGTTTCTTTAATTTACTTTAATCTAACAATTCCTCAAACTTCTCTTCATGATATTGACATTTTTGAAGACAACAATAATTATTTTATGGGTCATCCTTCAGTTTGGCTTAGCAGATATTTCTCTAAGATTAAATTCAGACTGGGCATTTTTTACCACCAGAGTAATATGTCCTTTTCAATGTATTACACAGGGAGACAGTGGTATCATTTTATCCCATTATTGGTGATGTCAGCTTTGATAAAGCTTCCATTGATAGGTGAAGTCACTCCATTGGTTCTCAAGATTTTTAAAGTAATATTTAGATATTTTTATTGAAATTAATGCTGATGTATCCTTCTGTTTCAAATGTAGTATATTAATAAGCATAGAATTGTCCCACATCGGAGTTTATTGTGTATGTATATTCTCATTAAGATGGAGGATGCCTCATTCCCAGGCGGAGGGAACACCATTGGTGTGAATTCGGCCTCATCTAAAACAGATACGGGTCGTGGAAATGGACCCCTTCCTTTAGGGGGTAGTGGTTTAATGGAGGAAATGAGTGCCCTGCTGGCCAGGAGGTGAGTGAGAAGTTATGTGGACATGTCCAGAATTGAGGAGATTTTGTTAATTTTGTGCTAACTATAAAGATACAGTTCTTCCCTTTTGGAGTAGTTTTAAACTAAGAGTTACCTGATTTTTTTTTTTAATCTGATTTACCTTTTTTCTAGGAGAAGAATTGCTGAAAAGGGATCAACAATAGAAACAGAACAAAAAGAAGACAAAAATGTAAGTTAATAAAAATAGTTTACTACACCTGAAAATGTGAAGTTCACACATAGCTCGTTAAGGAAATTGTGTCAAAGATTAGTTTCAACGTAATTTATTTCAGCTAACAATTGCTTATTTTTAACTCTTCAGAGATTAGAAAAATGGCCTGTTGGAGCATTACTTATAAATTTTTAATGGCATTCTTATTAAAATGGGTTGAATGTGTGGAGTGGGGGGAGAAACACTGAAATTCCAACATGTAGAGTTTAATTCTGTATCTTAAGCCTATCATAGAATGAGTGAATGACCTTTTTTACAAGGTTTTCTAAATTCAAAGTTTCCTTGCATTTGAAATGAAGTAATTAGACCAAATCAATGGTTTTAAAATGTGTCCCCTAGGAGCCCTGTTATTATTAGCTGGGCCCTAAGAGTGTAACCTTCGTGCCCCTCTTTCTAGTTCAGCAGGGCAAACTCTGCTTTATCTGTTTTATATATTAATGTTTAACAAACAGTGTAATTGCTTTCCTGCTGCATTTGGCCTGTTTTGATACCGTTCCTCAAATCTGCTACATCTGGCTTAATAACTTGGGCTAGTGTGGTTCTCAATGAGAACACAGGGGAAAGGATCTGTGGGGAGCAGCGAGGGGGGTGCTAGGCTCAAAACGAAGTCTGAGCTAGAATAGAAGGGAGAAAAGACCGATGAAGAGAAAAGTGGGAAATGGCAGGAAGTATAAAACACCAAATACATGCAACAGGCTTCTAGTAGATGTGATATTATTAATACGTATTTCTGTATCTTTAGGAAGATTCAGAGCCTGTAACTTCCAAGGCCTCTTCAACAAGTACACCTGGTGAGTTCAAGAGATACACTTTCATCTTTCTGAAGTTTCTCTAAATATCAGTGCTCCTCAGTTAAAAATTCCCCATTTCCACATGTTTGGGTCAGGTTAACTGCTTAGTCACTAAATCGTTAGTTCTTTGTTCACACTTGAAAGCACTGTTTCCTGTCTGTGCCTTTTGTGATCCCAGAGGCAGCTGTTAATTTTTCTGATATTGGGAGACCTATTAAAATCGAAAGTTTTTTTCTGATGACTCTTTCTCTGAAAATCATAATTTTTATACATTTATGTATGAATTTTATACATTTATGTGTATTATTGTTAATGATTCGAAGTTATTCTCTAAAACATGGGAAAAATGTTATCAGATGAAAGAGAAGTACTTTTAGTAATTGATTCTTAAAGGTCAGGATTAAGTGAGAATGTAGCTGGCACTGAAGTCTATTTCAAGACATTCTCACATTGAACTGTCATTTCCCGTTCATCAAGGAAATAAAGCTTCTAATTTGTAAGGTAAAAAAAAAAAAAATCTCCTTAAAGCTTTGGGAAATGTTCTTGAATTCAGTGAAATTTCTGGCATTGAGAACTCTTGGGAGTTAGAATACATTACTTAGAATATTGACAAAATATACATATCATTGGAGGTACTTAATGACAACTGTATCCATGTTTAGAATATGAGATTGTTACATTTCTTCATATTTGACTAAAGAGTAAGCACTGGATTATCTGTTTACTTCCTTACCTAATTTGGAATGAAGTGACATAAATAAATTTGATGGTTTTGACAAACGAGTATCTAGAATGATCCGTAGGAATACCATTATACGGAAACGTCTATAACCTCTTGTTCTCATTATTGAATAGTAACTATTCAGTAGTCTGATTCTGTATCGTAATTGATATTGTGACTAAATTGTTTTTCCTCTGAATAGGACTCGGATCAGTTTACATTATCTTCATTTAAAATTCCCTGGCTTGTGACCCACCTATTTTACCTTTCTCTTTCTTTGATAAACCAAAATTAATATATATGCTGTTATTAAAACCATAGATATTTTAGAACTCAACTATAATTTAGGGTCACAGAACTTTTTAGAATTGAGAGCTCTGAGCCCTCTCCCAGGGAGGGGAGAAAACCGTATTTTTATACAAATTTGGTCATCATTTCAAAATGTTCGTAAATTCCCTGAAGGTTATCTGTGGACTCCAATTTAAGAACTTCTTATCTGATGTAATCTCCTTATTTAAAATATGGAAAACTGAAGCATAGATTTTGCATGTGTTTTTGTGTGTATGTTTGTATGTGTGTGCCATTTTTATAAAATTAAGGGTTCATTCAGGGCTGGGGGCTTCTTTTTTTGTTGCTTTTTTTCATTCAGGTTTTTTTGTTTGTTTGTTTTAACTTGGCATGTGTCAAACACTTGACAGGCCAAAAAAGAAGTGAGAGATAAAGTCACCCTAAACAGAGGAAACTCATGGTTCAGCTGGAAAGATGAGACACACACAAGTGAAAAGTTGATCTTTTACAGTCACATGTTGAATAGTAAATACTATGTTAAAGAGGGAGGAGATTGTATAGTTTGGAGCCACCTGGGTCCTCTTTGTAGGGAGAGGTGACCTCTTCCCATGCCTTGAGGAGTGTTTAGCTTGGCTGAAGGTAGAGGAAGGGGTGCTGTGTCAATGAAGCATGAGCAATGCTGGGGAGCTGGAGATGAGCCAGGAGAGACTAGAGAGTGTTAGGTAGACTTGCCTGACTAGAGTGGAGGGGTTTTTTTGAGGAGGATTGGGGGAAAGGCTTGGGAAAGCAAGTTAGAAGCAGAATGTTGAAAGCCTTTTACGAAAATATCAGGAGTTCAGACTTTATCCTGCGAGAATTGAGTTGACAAGCAACTGAAACTGTTTTAGGAACATTAAAGTGGCAGTTGTGAGCAGAGCGACATAGAAATCAGGGATGGCCGAGATAGGGAAACTAGTAAGGATTCAGTGTGTTTCCAAAGACCCAGTGAAGGTAACCCAGCCTCTGTCCTTCCTCCTGAAACCCACCTGGAGCCCCATTAGAGAGAACACAGCCTCACGTGATCTGCACAGGTGACTTGAACTGCCCATCCTCAAAACCAGATGAGTGCTTTTAAGATTAAAAGATAGTTCTGGTTTGGCTAATTGAGAAAGGATGTCAGGCAGCTGTTAAATGGCAGCACTTGCTACATCTTTTCACGTTGGAATTATTTCTTCATCTCTCTGCCTGCCTCTTCTTTAATGACAGTGTCCTAACGACCATTCCCTGGCTGCCTAGTTGTCCTTCAGGATTTCCTTTTTTTCCTCTACTCTGCCCGATGTCTCTTGGATGTGTTTCTGATTCTGTCTATCCTGAACCTTCTCATCTGATTATTTGATGTCCCTGGCTCACTCTGTGGTGGTCAGCGAGAGAGTATGTTAGCTGTCAGAATACAGAAGAAGGAATAACGATTAATTGGTTGATTGACGTTGAGTAAAATAAGATGAATGATGACTTTAAGGTTTCACACCTAGATGACTGAATGCAACAGAAGTCCAGAACAAAAGCAGTGTTTCAGAGTTTGAGTTAGAAAGTTTAAGCTTAGTTGTGCATATGTGTAGTTTGAAAAGAAGGCAGCTACCTAAGTAAGAATGTCCAGGAACCAGTTGAGGGGCTACACTGGAACTCAGGGAAGTTTTTTAGTTACAACTCCATGTAACTTTACTTAGGCTTGATTTTCATGCGGCCCAAGTTCATTCTTCCAGGACAGGGTTCCTGTCTGGATTTCACCCAGTCGTCTTGTGAGGCCAGTGATGGCATCAGTGAGTCAACCCAGGTTAGAAAAACAATTCAAAGCAGAGTAGATTAAAAGCTTTAGAGTAAACTCATCTTTATTTAACTGGAATTGTTTGTGAAGTCCCAAGATTTGATTGTTTGAGAATCAAGGAAGTACAGTAGAAGGATGATTTTGAAATATATTTTGAGTTGTTTGAATTTTTTCCAAGAGGACTCTGAATTTAGATTAAATCTTGAAGTACATGAACACGTTAAAGATTCTTTTTGTTTTGATGTTGGCACTAAAAATAGCTTAAGATAGTACTGTCCCATTCTGATAAACTTAAGCTATCCTTATTAATTTAAAATAATTTACACTATTTAATTCTAATTAATTAAAATTATCCTACCCCTATTATTCTATCTTTATTAGAGAAACTTCCTACCATCTGGTATATAGAATTAAAGTATTTTAGATTTAGCAATCTAAATTCTTCCTAGGGAAACTCACACTTGCTCATGAATTTCTTCACATTTTGGCATCTGAAATTGTACAAATTAGAATCCTTACAGATTTTAATTAAAGCTCAGAATTGAAATTTAAAATTTTTTATTTATCTGTCTTACTACATAAACATGTATAGTGGTATTTACTATTTTGTTACTTGTTTCATAATAACTCTGGGAGCATATAAGATATTAATAACTTATGTTCTTTTATTCTTAAAGAACCGACAAGAAAACCTTGGGAAAGAACAAATACAATGAATGGCAGCAAGTCACCTGTTATTTCCAGGTATCATTTTTTTCTAAGTTTTATATTACATTTGTATCTAAAAAGAAATAAACATCTGCATTTTTGTTGTAGAAAAAATGAATGGTAGATCTAAAAATTGTACAAAGAAGCAAATGAAACATCTGTAATCCTACGACTGTTGGATGACACTGAGCCCCACTTTATTTTTACTAATAATTGTCTAAATTCTACCCTATGCTTGTTATTATTATCTAGGCTGTCTGAAATTTTAAGATAATTCTTATTCCTCCCAATTTGCTTTATTTTGAAAAATTCAGAACTGTGGAACAGTTGAAAGAATAGTATCACAAATGTCCATTTACCCATCACCTAGATTCACTAGTTATTAACATTTTGCCAACATTGGCTTGAACGTTTGTCTACACATCCACACTTTTTTCCTTCTGAACAGTTGGAAGGCAATTTGCAAATATGTGCTGCTTCAGCTTTTTTAGGCTTTTAGCATTTCTCTTAATAAGCAGGACATTATCCTGTATAATCACAACACCATTATCTCTCTCAAGATAAATAATCTTGAACAATATTATTATGTAATATATTCACATTTCCCAGTTGGTCTCAGTGATAGCCTTCATTTTGTACCTGTAATTTTTGAAAGAAACATGTTTTGAACTGAAAAGCAGCTGAAGAGAAAAAGCTGCAATGTTTGAGAGAGAGCAAAATAAAACCTAAAATTTTGAATTTGTAAAGTAGATTTCTTTCTTTCTCAGTTGAAACTTCTAATTATAATCAAGTTAGAAAAGATAACACCCAGAAACAAGCCTGGTCACTTCGTGTTTTTCTTCAGGTGGCTGGGGTGTGCACTGTCAGGCAGACTCAGTGTTCCTTAGCTAGGCACACATTGCTGTCATAACTAGCTCTGTATCATAGGTCTTAAACATAGGTGAAACTTTCTCTTGGCTTATGAGACAGTTTAAAGGTCTCATACTTTTCCCAGGAAAGAAAAGGATGTATCTAGAGACTAAATTTTTAAGTCTTCTTGCCTTTTCTTTCTGAGCTATTTGCCTTATTTTTGCCTCATGAAAAGCAAACTTGACACTAGTTGTAGAAGCCTAATAACGAAAAATATAAGAACAGACCTCATACTGTCACAAGGCTGTTGTATCTTAGCTTCAGTCTAAATTTGGGTTTGTGTTTTGCGTGGTTCTTTCTATTGGTAGAAGAGACTTGGTGTTGACATAGTTATTTGAGGTCCACAAAGAAACTGGGCCTTTTTGAATGTATAGAAGCTTTTAGTTTCTAAGTGACTGAAAGATGAATATATGTGATTTTAGAAGAAAATGCCTGAATTGCTTTTGGTGAACATGGTTCTTCAATAGAGGAGGAAAATGTGCACATTTGTGTTTCTGAGATGTCTAATTGATGTGGCCTTCTAACGCATCTCCAGTAGTTGCTACGGGTTTTCTTTAGTAACACATTACAAAGCCTGATTTATCAGAATAGAACCGTGATGTACCGTTTACCCTTTGCAGTTACACACTGTTGGGGAGGAATTCCTTCTCCTCTTTGCCACTGCTCTTCACCCCTACTTCACTGATAGGGACTCCGGAGTGAGCTTGCCTGAAGCTCAACTTAAATTCAAAGCAAAAGTCATGTCTTACAAGGGACATGGAAAGGCTTCTCCAGACAGAATGTATGTGTTCTTTGATGTGCTTGGGCTTATTTGAAGGAAAGAATATTCTTTCAGAGAATTTTCAGCATTCTAAAGGGAGTTTAATAAATGTTCTAAACATCGCCATTTAAAAATACATTTTTATATGATTAATCAATTTTGGTTCTTATTATCTAGTAGTGTATTGTAATCGTGTTCTGACTCTGGTAGATAGTTTTCCTCTCTTTTTCCAAATAGACATTAGCATGCCCAGTTATTTCCTGACCGCTCATATGCCTTTTGATAGATTTGATCCAACCACTGATAATGTGTGTCTTAAAATTTCACTGCAAGCAGTTTTAAACCATAAAAGATTTTTAAAATATGTTTAAAAGACTAAGAACTGTATTGCCTTTCTTTCTGCATTATTTACCCTGTTCTTTCTGAAAGCAAATATATTGGCCATTTTTTGTTTTTATTTAAGTGTGCCTCAACATTGCACAGTAGTGAAAGTACTTGTTTGTCTTCTGAAAATCCATGTCAAAATTATGTTAGTGATAAAATGGATCAGTATCTTGTAATATACATGAGGGATTGTGTTATGTAGTATGTATTAATAAGATGCCAGATAGTAGGATAAAAGCAACAATGTTGTAGTTAAAAATGCTCTAAACCATGACTGGAACATAACATTGGAAAGTTTGTGAATTCTTTTTGTGGTTTTTGTTGAGAGCTTACAGATCTTGTATTCAGGATGGAAAAAAGGTCTTTACAGTGCCTCCTGAAAAGAGTTACAAGCTACAATGCTTTTTATTGTGCTTTTTATTTGAGTCTGTAGTTTTATCTTCATTCTAGTAGAAATGTCTTATATGTGTTTTTGATACTTGTTGAATCTTTGAAGGTAGATTTTATTCTATCTGCAAGTCTATAAAAGGTGGCATTGCATAATGCTTTTTTTTTAATTCTCTGTAATTGTCAGGTAAACAGTGTCCTACATAACTAGACTTAGTCTCCAAATATCTTTTTCTAATTGGAAAAAACAATTAGTTTAAAGTTAACAGACTCCTTTCATTTTTATTCTGTTTGCTGTAACTAAAAACCTATAAACCAGTAACAATGAGAATTCTCTTTAAAAGTTCTATTGTATACCCCTTTAAATGGTTTTTCCCCTTCATAGACGGGATTCTCCAAGGAAAAATCAGATTGTTTTTGACAACAGGTCCTATGATTCATTACACAGGTATCATCCTGATGTGACTTTGTGATTTGAGACTTTTAAATAACATGTTCAGGATAGGGCTGAGCTTTTTCTACATGGATTGGTAATCACCACAAGGAGATTTAGGAAGAGTGAATCTTTCATATTTAGCTTTATTTAAAGCACTTTTTAAAAAATTCTAAGATTTTAATTAGAAAAATTAATAATATTCATTTCCCTGCCATCAGTTTATAAATTATGTTTGGATTATGATAAATATAAATGATAAACATCAGAAATACGAGGATGGGACTCCAAGGCCACATATATCTAGACTGTTTGTAGCTTTTGCATTTTCTTTTAAAGGCCATTCTCAGGAGTGGAGGTGTATAGCTCAGTGTTAGAGCATGTGCCTAGCATACACAAGGTCCTGTGTATCCATTAAAGATAAATAAATAAATCTGATTACCTCTCCCTCCCCCAAAAAATTTCTTTTAAAAAGGCCATTCTCTTTACGATTATAAGACAAGGCTTCTTAAAAGTTGAGTAGAAGATCCTGTACTGTTTCTTGCTAGAACACAGGATAATATGGCCATAATTGTGGATAGTTTATTATTTGAAGAAAATCTCTGTTTCCTAGATACTTGGCAAGTAAATTGAGTATCTTTAATAACCTAACATCTAACATCCTGAGCAGATTGTTTTCTAAGATGAGTCCTATTATACCATTTTTTTTAATTACAAAAACTTAGGATATGAGGCATGTGTTTCTTTCTTAATTAAAAAAAATTGTCAGTTTTTTAAAATCCTCAAGTGTTTGAGCTATATTTAGAACTAATTTAGCAGAATAGGGACTTGAATAGTTGCAATACACTAATTTAATAGGCAAGTATATAGAGGCAACGCTCTCATTATAAAGTAATAAAAACCTCTGAGAAATCCCCCTATTTTATTATCAGTTATGGGGAAAACCCTTACGTTAGAAATAACAGATAGACCCATAATCGTCTATGCATCTATCTTTTAAAATACACATGAAATCTACAGGGAGCATGAATTAAATAGTATATGGAGGGCATGTTTATGGCAGTGAGTAAGGAGTTCTGTAATCAGACTCTTTTTGGCCAAATTGTTATTAACTACAATTATTTTCATGCCATTGATGATTAAAACATTTGGTAAGTTTCTTTTGTCAGCCACTTAAATCTGCATAAAATGTTTATAATACAATAGTGAAATAGTTTTTCTTTTTTTTTTTTTTTTTTTGAGGTTGTTTAATTGCTTTGGCCAAAAGACTTATTTAGGAAATTTGCTAGCACATAGAAAAATAGTATTTAACAATGAGATTCTGTTGCAAATCTTTTCAGCTACCTTGCTGCTTTCATACATAGTGCCCCCTGGGATAATGTTATTAATAAAACTTTTTTAAAAAGTGGTGATTACTTCTTTCCTTCAGTATGAAAAGTTCCCCCCTTTAGTTAATTACCACGGTGATGGTGGTGGTGGCGGTGATGGTGGCGGTGGTGGTGGTGGTGATGGATTGCATGTTAGCATGAATTGAATTTTTTTAAAATTGCATGTTTCCACAGTTTTCTTATTATATAACGATAATTTTTTTGCATTGTCTAGTAAATATGGATATATTCATAGCATACTTCCATAGCAGTGGCAGACCACACTTACTCACTTGAATTTCAGGGATTTTCATTATGTAAGTTAGGAGACAACATTTAGCTAATTTGTACCAGTTAAATGTGAGACGTGAAAGAAGTGCAGAATAAGTAATAATTTACTTCTGTAGAGCAGGAATAGACAGTGTAGGTGAATGAAATGCACAGTGTGTCGACCTTTATGAATGCTGTATAGACCAGACTCAACAGAGCACCGGGACTTGCATACTATGGACCTCGATACGTCTTAACTGACTGTGGAATTAAGTAGTCTCCTCAGCAGAGTGAAAAGGCGTATCCTCACAAGAGGAAAGGAAATATGTCATGTGAATCTTCTTATCCAGCGTGGCCTAGCCCAGTGCCTATTGAATGAATAGCTTTTCTGAAACTTTCTTATTCATATAAACATAAGCAGCAGATACCTAATAAAATTGGTTGACTTGCTTCACGAAAGTCTTTTAAGCAGTCATATGTTTGATATTAAAGCAAATTAACTCAGTATTTCATCTTAACAAATAATGACTATGGATTTGAAGTAAAATATGCCTTATAAGAATAAGTTTGAAAATTTATTAAACCTATTGAGTCTTGGTTCAGATTTCTAACATTGGTACTCTGCAAAGTTGGAAATATGTGGCTTGACTAATGACGAAGTTGGAAATATATGACTTGCACAGATTTGTGGCCCTTAAAGAGTGGCCACTTATTATATATTAAACCTGAAAATAGAGGAGTACCCAGTTAAAATTCTACATTTTCCACGTAGGATTTTCTCTCATTGCCAGAGTTGGAGAGGAAACCATGACTGATTTATTTGATAATGAGGTTTTTGCTTAAAATATACCTAATCCTTAAAACTTATTTCTTCATGTAAAAATTTTAATAGAAGCTAAACTTTTGAAAGTGCAATAGTAATTGGCAGTCTGCTTCAGTGTGACATTTCCTTTTTTAAAAAAAATAAAATGAAGTATCTATGGAAGTAGTTAGCTGAAAACACCATTCAGATAACATCTCCATAAAAATTTCATTGGGAAATAGCCACATAGCCAATTGTATATGAATACAGTTTTGATTTAATAATCATTTTTCCAACATTCTTATTTATTTTGATGCTTGAAGTGGAATAAAGCATATACAAAGAAATCACGCTCACTAAAATGTCTTTTCTCCCACAAACCAAGGCGTAAGAGTTTGTAAATTGATTTATATTAGAGTGAAATGTTTAAGTCTTTATATTTTCCCTTACGTTGGTTTGCCAGGTATTTAGTAGATAATATACCGTTTCCAAAGAAGGAGAAAACAAGACGTGCTACTTGGGCTCAGATGATGCAGCTGGTCTCCTGTCTGTCCTGATCAATGTGCCACATGTTACCTGGTTACCCTCCCTATGCCTAAAGAGTGTTGTTGTCTTCTACTCTTTCCTGGCGAAGTCTTGTCATCTTATTACCTGTTCCTAATTCCTTTACAAATAACTGAAAATATTGAGAAAAGTGAAAAATATTTTCCGGTTTTTGTTCTAATCAGTTCTGCAACTATTAGGACAATTAACTTTTAACACAGTGTGTTTTAAGAAATGTACTTAAATCTGGTGTTGGGTTGGTAAATTTGCAGTTAATTATGAACTCATTAAATATCCTAAGTGTTGTTTACCTGTCTTGAAAATTTCATTTGTACAGACCAAAATCTGCACCCTCGTCACAGCCCAGTGCCAATGGAGTCCAGACGGAGGGACTGGACTATGACAGGCTGAAGCAGGTGGGCGTTCAGCAGCAGCTTCCCTTTATTTGTACTTGTTTCTTTAAAAAAAAAAAAATCCCATATGAATATATTTGACAGATTGTGAATGAATTTGAAAAGAATGTAGGGTTATTTTTATGCAAATTAAACAATGGCATTCATACTGTATTATTTTTTTCAAATCCTCAATTTTTAGTTAATAAATTCACATAAAGTTCCAGCAGTGGAGGGGGGACAGTGGTTTAATGGTATAATATAAACTTAAAATGTCAGTGCATGGTGTACAGTTGTTTTTTTTTTTAAAGAGAGGTTGCACTTTTCATTTATCATTCACCAAAATGGGATCCAGTAAATCTGGTTTTGGCAAGAATGGGAGGAAAATGAGCACTCTCATATAATTCTGTCTTTTAGGAAGCAGTTGGGGAAAACAAAAGCCTTGAAAATAATGTCTTACCTTTGAATCCAGCAATTTCACTTTCTAGGATTTATACTAGGAGAATATCATGGAGGTATATGTATATATAGTGTGGAGGAGGGTTCTGCAGCCAGTAAGGAGTTGTCAATGAGAATATTTAACAATGAACTTGCCCACATTAGGTGAAATAGACAGGTAACCTAACAGTATGAACAGTTATCCCAATTTTATTTTTTAAAAAAGTATCATCCATATTTTAGATTCATTTGCATTCTGTTTAATACCTACGTACCCAGAGGAAAAAGTGGAAAGATTAATGGGTGATTGTGGAGCTTTAAACTATTTTATTTCTAGAAGAGGTAGAATAATTTTTTAAATAGTAATTTTTAAAAAGATTCAAAATGGAAGACAGTACATCTTAGTAAAATAACTCCAAATGCACCTGTAGTGAAAAATTTAATTTTTGTCTTCTTACCTTGCACTTCAGGATAGCCTCTGAAAATACCAGTTGTAGTGATCACTATAACAAACACTTATTGACTGGTAAATGTCAGTGCTATACATTTGCTGGGTTATTAGCATGACATTTCTCCTAATCCTCACCATCATATAACGTAGTGTTTGTACTCAAATTGTGCACATCTGAGGTTCAGAGAAGTTAAATTTACTCAGTCCCGCAGTCGGGATCAGAATGCAGTCTTTGTTCAGAACTCATTTTCCCCATTCCATCACTAGCAAAGTTTGAGTAGGGCTTAAAAAGGAACCAATAATGTTGCAGTAATATGAGTGCAGAACAAAAGTTAAATAGAAATTAAAGAGACAGATACAAAGAATAATTTGAGGTCAACCTAATTTTTATACTGCAAAGCTGTTCGAAAAGTTAAATCGAGTTTTGTAATTTGAAAAGGAGGCATGTGGTCATTGATAATCAAGCCCTAGTTTCTTTCCTGCATGTTAAATGTGGATTTCTTTTCTTGAAAAATGTTCTGAATTGGAGCATTTGCACACATTTAAAATATAGTAATCTTGGCTATCTGAAGTAGTGAGCTAGAAGAGAGAATAGATTTGAGTTTAGGACTGATTTTATGATTAATTTGAATAAGGATATCTGTTAGTCCATATAATAACTTCTGTACCTCAGTTTCCCCATTGGCAAATGGAGGAATTAAAGTAATTGATAGTTTTCAACCTGATTTTAAGCATAAAAAGCTTTTTAAAAAAAATGAACCATAAACAGCGATTTAATTTTACCTGAGATGTGCAATATGTAAGTTGTATAATTCGAAACTAATCCTTCCATAGGATAGCGGGTTTTCACCCATTAAAACTGTATCACCTTGTTAGCCCTTTTGCTTTCATATTACACAATTCATCATTTTTTTAACTGGGAGGTATCCATTTTTTCAAATTGAACTTTATAAAGGAAAATATTGCAAAATACATACAGATAAAGGTGGTGTGGTTTTCATGGAGGAAGGAGGGGCCAGAGTGTCACTATTAAATAGAAGCATAGTGTGGGCCACACAGTACTTTAAATTTTCCAGTAGCCTCATTAAATGCAGAGAAACAGGTGGAATTCATTTTAATATATTTTGTTTAACCTAATATAGTCAAAATAATATTTCAGTATTTAAATCAATATTTTAAAATTACTAATGAGTTATTATACATTATTTTCTTCATGCTTAATCTTTGAAATCCGATGTATGTTTTGCATTTACAGTGCATCTCACTTCAGACTAGCCACGTTTCAAGTGCTCAGTGGCTACATATGGCTGTACCTGGCATCTTGTCCTGTGCATGTCCAGCAGGGTCCTATCCTCCTCCTCCTCTCCCACCTGTTAGGGCAGCCCCTGAGGCCCTCCAGGGGAATCCTAGGTTCCTTGAAACTTAGTTTGGCAGCTATGTAAGGAGTCCCCATACTTCAAACTAGATGACAGATTTGCCAAGAGCTGATTGTTCAGTTTACTTGTCTTCTTCCTTGGAACTTCCGTATGTATTACCTCTTAGCTCCCAGAAGACTAGATTAAAAGCCCAGCTTTTATGTTTTCTAGAAGTTATCTGAATCATACCTTTCACTGGTGAGCAAATAATTATTTTAGTTTAGAAAGCATTCTGTTTCATATTTTACTAGTCTAGAATAAGAGAAGATTGGGACAAGAAGACTATTAAAATTTACCAAGGTTAATCTTCTAAGACATAAATTGTGACTCTGGAAACAAAAAAATTAATATTTTATATATTCTTAAAATTTTATATGAGCAAGTATCTTTTAGCAATAATTTTTTTTCTGTATTTCTGATGTTTTTCTTTAACATTTTAGGACATTTTAGATGAAATGAGAAAAGAATTAACAAAGCTAAAAGAAGAGCTCATTGATGGTGAGTGTCTAAACAGATGCGCTACCCTTATTAATATTTAAAAATAACTTTTTAAGAAAATACAAATAAAGAAATACCCAGTTTATCACTTGAAGGCATAAAACAATTACTTTTCCATATTATCCTGCCTCTTACTTTGCTTAAAATATCAGGGAGGAGCGCTCTCTCCTTCATATAATGGAAATTATTTGTGAAAATAGGGGTAAATGAGATTTCTAAGTTCCAGCTGTTGAGTAGTAGTAGATGGAAGACTAGGTAAATAAGTCTTTCTCTAGGTCACCTCTCCTCATCCATCCCATCCCACTGCCCTCTTATTTTGAGCCTACAGAATCAGTGTTTCATTTTGTGTACAAAATAGAATATATAAATATACGGAAATAAGTGTGATCTTTGTAAAAATAAGAAAGCAAAGATCTGTGCAATGAAAGATGCAAGCTCAGTTTATCTTTTTATTACTGTGCGTTTGACTGCAGTCATTAAGATTTCTTAAGAATGAGTCACCCACATTTTACTTTCATTATATTTACTTTCATTACTTCTCCTTTTCCTACCCAGCAATCAGGCAGGAACTGAGCAAGTCAAATACTGCATAGAGAAACAAACTAAGGAGAGATAGGACTTTAATCTGGAGAAAGGAAAAAAAAAAAAACCTGCAAAGAACAACTGTTAACAACAAAACCCCTACATTTTGTGAGCTGTAAGAAGAAAATGGAGACAAACAGTCGGAAGGAGGGAAAACTCAACATACTTTGAAAGCCTTCAGACATTACTACTCTGGCGATAAGCTATTTCCCTCCCAGTTTGCTGCTTTTTTCTGACCTTTACAACAGGATGGAAGAGTCGTAAAAGAGTTCCTGGAACAGTTATGCAGAAAATGCTAAACCCGTCAGGCAGGATCACCGTGCATTGAAATATTTTCATGTCAAGATTAAATGGCACATTTTCCACAATCCATTGCTAAAATAAAGAGGAGAAAGGCTTAAGAAGTTTTTTTCAGAGAATGCTGGTGAAGAATTTAGCAAGTTACACTATTGTATTGTAAATGTTTCTCTCAGGTTTGTCTTCCTATCGTATTTGATATTCCATGAATAATCGAGATCAGCCCTATGTAAGTTAAGATTTTAAAATGTGGAACAAATGGAATTGTACGTGCTTTCAGAGGGTGATATTTATAAGAAAGTGTCCTAAAAATAATTTGTCCAGCTTGAGGAATTTGAGAATGATAGGAAGTCTCTCGAGGTAGCCTTCATGCAATTTTGTAGATTCAAACATAAAATTCGTCCAGAATTTAAAGATTTAGATGCCTTCCTAAATTGTTACAATGCTTTACCAAATCTATGACTCCTACATAACACAAACCAGTGGTCAAATGTAAAACAGTATATTGTAGATTTACTGTAGGTTTTCAACCTTTTTTAGATTTATGCATGTGGACATTTTTATAATGTAATTACAATCACCACAAAATTAGCTTTTTTAATTGCAGACAGTAATGCATGTCAGACTAATACGTAGTGGCCTTTTCAAGGCCTAGTCCCAGGGAAAACATTTTGTAGAGTATAGGGGAGTGGGAGGAAGGGAAGGAATAATTTTTTATTTAAAGTTAATTTCTGCACTATCTTTTTTCTCAATTATCTGCATGAATAATAATGAGGAATATTTTGTGACTTTCATTGGTAAATATGTTAACAGAACCAAGTACTTAATCTTTTACATCATGTCTTCAGCTATTTGTATTTTAACTTCCGTAACTTCAATGGTCTGAAACATGATTCTGAGCTTCACATGAATTACATCTTACTGTGGAACTCACAAGGTCGATCCCTGAATCTGGCAGTTACTATTACCTGGGTGCCCTGCCGTTCGACAGGTGTGCAGGCACACGTTCCTGACCACGAAGCTGCTTTTGAGTTTTGTTATGTTGGGCTCCTGGAAAGTAACAATGATGGCAGCAGTTAAGGTCACAGAAACCACTGAGTGAAGGGAAAACAACAAGGGGTCCTGCGTAATTTTCTTTTAATAAATAAAGTGAGACTTAGGTGGTGGGAAGAAGGCATTAGACACTCTACTTACCACCGTGTGTGTGTATGTTCACGTGTGTGTGCGTGCGTGTTTGTGTGTATGTAATCCGCTCCTTTTTCTTTGAAACACATTAAGATTAAAATAGGGGAGAAATCCTATATGTTGCAATGATAGAATTTTTTGAAAATTTAGGAAATCAAAAATTCTCCAGGCTCTCCATCTTGATTTATGCTTGAGTTGTTATGTGCCATATTTGCTTTGAAATCTTTGATTATCAGAAGTTTTACTAAAATTTTGAAGAAATAATCCGTTTTCATCTGCTTTCTAGATTTCTTAGTCAGTTCATAAGACAGAGCTTGTTGATAGCGTAGTTTTCTAAAGGCTGCAAGTCTGCAGCCATTACCACTTCAAAGAGGTTTGAATGAGGGACTTTTTTTTTCCTTGTTAAAATAGTTCCTGTTTCTGTAGCAACTTCATTTTTAGATTAATCTGTGATGGGTGAGCTGTAAGTCAAGTATATAGTTCTTTTTTCTATCAACTATTCATTGTCATGCAATAGTAAAGGCATTAAGGATGCAACAAGCTTGTAAAGTACTATTTTCTAAAAGAAATAGGAGGCATTTTCATCTTTATTATTGTACTTTTGGTTATGTAAACACTTTGATATAAACGTTTATGTCCCCCATAAATCTAGTCAGAAATCACTTTTCACTTTGTTGATTAAGTTAAAAAGTCTATAGTAGGGTAGAATACTGGGTACAAGTGGTCCAAAGTAAGTAAAAGACTACGATAAAAATGCTAGATCTTAAAAAGAAGCTGGTTTATGCACTAAACGTTTTGTGCCTTGGTCTAATATTAACATGATGTCTGTATAAAATGACTAAAAGAACCAGTGTTGAACCATGTTATATTTCCCATCATTCTGCATTATCCCAAATTGCTAAGTGTATTCTTTCCAAGAAGTTTGATTGAATTACTATACATTTACTGCCATGTGTGACAGTTTTGTCATTGTTAGAGATTTCAGTAATTAAAATGGGAAACAGAAGCTTAAGTTATTTTCCTTATCAAAACTGTGTTCCTTGGAACCACGTTATTATGATGGTTTTCGTGCTCTTGTACATCGGATGTCTTAAGCTGAGTGCAGTTTAGGAGATCCTTTCTAATTACAGGAAGGTACTTCTTTCCTTCAACACTGTGATCTGACCTGTGACAAATCTGTACTATACACTATGTAAATGGCTAACAAGTCAATTGCAAACCAACTGAATGTACAAATCTTAGTGCTGGTGCTGAAATCTCTTCAGAATAGTCATCATGATCTCAAAGTTCGTTTCAAAATTTGCAAGCATCAAGTGTCAATCAGAACTGAAGATGAAACACTAATGAATGTTGAATTCTCATGCTTTAGGTGTACTTCTTTTTAGATATTTTGGTTCTCTGCTATTTTTACCGTACTGTTTCATTTAAATTTCCTACACGCTAACTTCGTTTGTGCGATTGAAATAAAATTGCAGTATATACATGTTGCTTGTTTGTGACACTAAGATAATCTTCTGACAGTCTGTTGGTTCTAAAATAAGTTGTACTGAATGTGAAAAACACTTCTTAAAGTCCATGACGTCACTATTTAAAGTTTACGTATCACGCTATTCTTTAAAGGTTCCATAAGTCATAAATACTCAGTAATGTATACAAAGGGAATATGTGATAATGTATCTACTTTTTGCTTGAAATAAGTGTTGGGTGTTTCCTACTTGTTTTTATTTTCTCTCAGCCCAGCTTGGTACAGTGTCTTACAGTCAAGAGAATGATAAATGTTTGAATTCACTCCATCTTGTTCTACAACGTAGATACTTAAACTCATTTATGCAGTTAAAATTTTCCTTTATGTAGTTTGCAGCGTAAAGGACATTGTCTGGTAAAAGGCCTAATCAAGTGCTGAATTTTAGATATAGTGAATTCCGTATGGATAGTGTTTGTTTATACAGTATGCTGATTTCTTGATATCTACATATAAGCAGCAGTACTTTTTATCTGACTCTTAGGAGGTATTAATTTTGAGTTTCGTTTTAGAAGTCTAACGTCTTTATTAGAAGTACAACGGTCTCTCTTTTTTCTTCTACCAGACCCCGACTCTCCCCTCCCTCAACCTGTCCACTTCTTGCGGACCCGGCGTTCCCACCATTCACTTACATTTGCAGCTGTTCATTACCCAGTCCACGGGTGTAGACATATCAGCTGATTTGTTCTCTCTGTCCCATCTCAGGATCCTGCTTCCCTTCATGTATAAATCAGAATGTTTGTCTACAAACTAAAAGTCTCTTCCCATTCAGAAATGAATTGACAAATGGTAACTTCTAAAATTTGCCTAGCTACAACTTCATCTCCTGCGTTTGTATATACTTTCAGTGCCATTGTGAAGAATTGGCCTTTAAATTCTAAGTCGTATGTTACCCTTTGAAGCACAGTTTACAAAGGTATGCTACAGGATCTCTGTCATTTCTTTCTGTAGCCATCATAGCTTTATAACTCTATTACCCTGTAAATTCTGTGGATTATAAGCATAAAAATGACACCACGTAAAAGCATACTGTGTGAAAGAACTCTCTAGGAGCTCTTAATTCCTTTATGAAGCTATTACATAATCTACTCTCCTAAAAGCATTTACTCCAGCATTCACATTAAAACTCCAAACCTGTTCCTGGTAGTATCATTTTTGCTTTTAATAAAAGGATGAATTCCTATCTGTGTATCTCCTCAAAGCTAAGAGCTTATTGAAATTACTGATGTTTAATACCTCTGATTTTTCACTGGAAAGCCATTTAATATTTAGATTTAGATGCTTCTGAAGTACATATAAGGAAACTTGTCAATCTGGGGGAATAGAATTGTCCCAGGTCCCTTTGGCTACATGAAGACACAGTCGAGACCATTTACTTTTAAGAGTAGTTTTCTCTTGAATATAAGCACATTTGACTAAGTAGCTAAAGTTGGTAACCGCTTAAGAAAGGACATTTATATAAAGCCAAGTGCTGTTGGAGGTCTGGAGTGCAGATTTTCTGTTTGTTCCCTTTATGTGGTCTCTAGATAATTTTTGAGACTCAAGGGTTTTTTTTCTATGTATTCATAATACTGAGAAAGTGAAGCCTTCAAATTTTTTAAAAGTCTAAAATTGATTATAAAAGGAAAATATTACTACAGTAAATTTAGGAGTTGTTAGGGATATTCAGCACCAACATAAATGGAGGTCTTGGATATACCCTTTGTTGAATACCAATGTGAAGTCACCAAAGATACAAATTGAATCTTTCAGTAAGGAGGTGTATTTGAAAGTCCCTAATGTATGGACTATGTAAATTTATCTGTGTCTTTCTAAATAGTTTTTGTTTAAGTAACAGTGCCTGTGGGAAGGTAAATAAATGATTAGTCGTAATGACTTAGGATGTTAAAAGAATTACTGCCACGTTTATTGGTTATGTTTGTTAGGTCTGAAGAAATCAATACATGTGAAGATCAAGAAAGAAAAAAGGGCTGCTTTCAATTATTATAGATGTTGCACATAATGTGAACTGAAATGTTAGTATCATTTAAGGCATGGAGTTGGCCTCAAATACTTGCTGATTAATTTAACGTATGGAGTAAGTATAGCTGAAACTCAATTAAGTGTTTGAGCCAAGAGATCATAGTCACTGAGCTGTACCCCACTTCTGTGAAGCATGTTGAATACTCAGAAATTGAGCAGAGAACAGCCATTGGAAGCTTCTGGTATAGGACCATGGGATTCCTGGGTAGAGGGGGAAAATCAGGGCCTCAGGAGTCAATGAGGGTCAGGGGAGTAAACTTACCATCTGAAAAATGCTCCTTTTACATCACTTTTAAAAGGCATATAACTCCTAACAGTTGGACAACCCAAATATGCTAGTGAACTGGTCGCTAAATTCAACCTTTTCTCAGCTGTGTTCTGAGAAAATACAGCCTTCCATTTTAATAAAAATTACTTTAAAAGCTTAAATATTTCATCAGAGGACTTAAGTTTGCATTTATTCCATAAATAGAAAATCTGTATACAAATGACAGCCTTAGTTTACCGTAAGTTTGATTTAACTTCAGTAAATGGTTATTCCTCCAAGAAGACTTAGAATATGTATGTATTTTTAAATAGCGTGCAGTTGGTCCTTTGGATTATGCAGAAAATGGCACTTGGAAAATTCACACTGAATAAATTTACACTGATAGTTGTTTACATTGAGGGATATTAAATTCTCCATCAAGTCCCAAAGTTTCCATTCAAATCTAGGAACAGAAAATAGTTCTTGGCTTACACTTAAAATATAAACTGTTTTAACCATACAAAAGAAATGTGCCACAGAAGGATTTTAAAGATGTGGTTCTTAAAATTTCTAATGTTTCATGCCCTTAGTCACATCCATGGAGCCTTAGTCTGAGTCCATTTTTTAAAGATTAAAGGCATTTTAAGAGATGTTTTTTCAATATGCTTCATTTAAATTTTAGTTGAGAAATAACAATTTAGGATTTTTATCGTCATTAACCAAGTTGAACTTGGTTTGTTCTGCCTGCCATGGCATTAGGTGTTTTAAATATCTTAGGATTTCCCTAGATGCTGGAACTTTCAAGTCTGAGGTTGGTCCATTCTTGATGGTAGACTAACTTAGCATTGTAATCACAGCCCCGTCTGACTGCCACCCAGTGCTGGTGGTTAGGCAAGTGGAAGCCAGGTGTGATGAATGTTACGTAGACCTCAGTACTGTATCTTGAAAGTGGTAGGCACTTGACTTTGTCACTACAATTTCCTGGGAGAATCATTTCCCCCTGAGAAAAGTATTGGGAGAGTTTAGATATTGAGAAGAAAGGCACATTAAAGTCTGGCTTCATTTTCTTTCTACTTACTATTACCAAAGGGATGGGAGTTTCAGGTTAGCCAGGAATTTACAATTTGGTTTACCACAGATACCTCATGATAGATTTCAATTGCTACCATTGAATTTGGGGGGACAAAGTAGACTTGTTTCTGAAAGTAAACATTGTTAAAAGATTCTTATTTAATCCACTTCTTCACCCCTTTCTTGGACTGGACACTTTGTGTTCCTCCTCCTGCTTTGCTGTCACATTCCTCCCTTTGTGGGAAGTGGACCAGCCGTTGGGCTGGGCTGGGCTCCAGCCATCTTAGGCTTCACCAGTTGTCCAACTGTGAGGCATCCTCCCCGGGCAGGGGTCCCTGAGGTTGCTCCTGCCTCTAACACCAGCTCTGCGTTTCATCATCCAGCGTGTACTCTGCAGCCACTGGTCTGCTTTATCTCTTCCTTTTGGATCCAAGAGAGGAAGAGGGCCTGAGTTTTGCTCTCTCATCGTAAGTGCAGCTTTTAATTGTTTCAAAATCTTAGACCCTATTCACTGAAAAACATGCAGCCTGGGTGTGAATAATAAGGAAATACTGATGAAATGACAATTTTGAGGTTAGTGGTGCCATGTGCCGTCTTGGTGCTGTGTTGCGCTGCTGCTCCAGTGTCCTCTCTGCTCCTTTGTGAGCTTTCACAGAGCAAGTCCCTAGTGTCTGCATTGTCCTATCCATGGCCCTCCGCCTGGACACACACGCCTCCTGCCATCCCGACAGACCAATTGTAATAACATGGTGGGATCACGTGAGGCCTGGGACCCATGCTCCCGTTACGATGTATTAGTGTCAAAGTCCTTTTGACTCTTCCTGGTCCAGGAGCTGTTTTTAAGCAAACACTCTGCAGAGCTGGATGGAGGGAAGCAGCCCTTCTTTATTGCCTGGGGAAGAAAAGCGGTTCTCATGTCCCCTCAGCCTGCTGTGCTGTGGTTCATTCTATCTCTGCCATCTTGGGAGGAATAGGAGCAATAATGCCCTCCTGTCTCTGCCCTTCTTACTATATACACGTGTACAAGCTGTCGTCCCTTCCCAGTTCCTTGTTTTAATCCAAAAGATACAGTGATTTCTTGCCAGACCAGGTGACTCGCACCATCTGAGTGAATGTTGCTCTTAGTCCTTGCTTGACCTTAAGGAAAAGGTAATTGGCATGAAGTCAGAGGCTGCATGGGAAGGTCTGGGCTTAGGATGAGTCCTGTTTTGCAGACGTTCTTTGCCTTCTGTTCTTGGCGGGCATGTGTGTGTTTTGGAAGTCACATTTGTTAGCAGTAAGACACGCTTCTCATTATGTGTGTTTTCTTTTTTCTTTTTGGGGAAAGTGAAGTGTTTCTAACAAGTGAATGAGCTAGGAAGAAGATTCTATCTTGAGACATCTGTAGTTGATGCAGAATATTTCAGGACTCAATTACAGTATTTACACATTTTCATAGAAGTTCTTTTTTTGGTTTGCTTGATAAGACTGAATGAGGACGCGTCCCTGCAGTCTGTAAGTATAGCCACACTGCGGGTCCCTGGTCTGCAGCTGGGGAGGGAGTGGGTGCCTGAGGGTTAGTGTCTTTGCTGGGGCTGAGCAGAACAGCAGGCAGAGGTCGACCCAGGTAAGATCTAGTTCAAAGTTTCCTGTTTGCCTCTCCTCTCAGAGGCGTTTCCAAAACCTTTTACTTGACCTGAGCGAAAACCAGTTCCATTGTGCTTTCTGCTGGCCCTAGGGAGTTTGGCATGAGCATATGAGTGAATGACTGGAAAGCTTTTTTTGGTGCTTTTTATCTTGTTTTTGAGAAGTTGGGGAGTGGGCAATGAACCTTTCTGGTTGGAGAACAATATACACTGTTTCCATTATGAGATTTAGAATGTTAAATACATTTTCCTTTTCAGACCTACCAGGTTGCTAGGCCAGCAGCATCCAGTAGAAGAGCCCAGTTGGTAAAATTTCAAGGTGAATTTCTTATGGTCCAAATGGGTTAGTCCCCCTTGTTACCTTGCTTTGCTACATAAATTTAAAACTAGAAATGTGCATTTATGTCCTTAAAAGATGATGCAGAGCTATTTTCTTTGCTAAAGATGTGACCACAAGCAGCCCATGAATGTAGGACTTTAAAATCTGAGTGAGCCTCTTAGGGTAGTATGGACTGAAGTAATGTTTTAAAAGTTAAGGTTAACTTAAACATATCCAAGTCCATATTTTAATAAGAATTAGCAACGATATAATGTGCATACAGAACCTCATATATCTTATCTCATGGAATTTCTGAGTTATTGGCCTTGCTGAATTTCAGGAGTAAAGGAATCTGGTAGCAACTTGTTTCAAAGCAACAGACTGCAAATTGCTGCTTGACTCAAACCATTTGTAAACCCAAATGAAAGGGGATCTTCTTGTTAGGAAACATTACCTTCCAAGCTTGGCATCTACCTTTAAGAAGGGGAAGTGGAAGAGAGGGTGAGACACCAAACTAAAATAGTTGGCAGGGTGGTGGGATTAGGCAGCACCTGGGTTTGCACCAAAGTTTCAAATATGAATAGATAAAAAGGAAGACCACTTGCAAGACAGCTGAGGAAGGACTTGCCAGAAAGTAGCAGCTCCCGCTGCGCAATACAGTGCCTTCAAAATGATTCTCTGTGTGAATTGCATGCAATTTCATGTAACCATAAAATGTAACCTGTATGTGCATGACATGTGTCTAGAATGTGTAAAGTTAAGTTCAGCAGAAAAGGGGCATGGCCCTGTCACTGATGGATCAGCGAGCCTGCTGAAGTCCTTGGACTAAAGTGACCTCAGTCTGCCGCATCAGAGCCCTGTGTTCGCATTAAGCAATCATATCGTTGAAATCGGATCCATTTCTCTCTCTACTTTCTCTCCTACTTTGCAGCTTTGCTGGTTTTAACTGCTTCTCTATTCTGCTTCTTGGTATCCTTTCTTGTTTTGAAATAAAAAGATGAAATACTTAATTCAAAGGAGACTCGTTTTTATTTCACCAGTTGCTCTTAATCTACCAAAGATATATGATGTGAACAAGTTTGTTCTGTCTTCCTGATTGTGATTCTGACCTTATAATATGCTCAATTCTAAAAGCTTAAAGAGCTTTCTGTGGGCCTCCTGCATTTCAACCCCTCACTAAGGAGGGTGTTGAGCAAACTGTTTGCTTCCACCTCCCCGAAAGCTGCTCCTCACTTCTGTCTAACATGTCCACAGAAAACAGTGCCGTCCTCGCTGGAGCCACCCAAGGCTGCCACCCAGTCTCAACGAGCAGCCTGATAAGTGCACAGTGCGTGTACAT